AAAGCCAGGCAGAAGGAATTGATAAAAGTGGATCTATACAATTCCTTACAAACATTAACCTCATGGGAGAAACCGAGGGCTTCATATGTGCAATACAAGATCAAGTGGTTAGCACTAGAGCGTATAGGAGGCATATTTTAAAACAAAACATACCAACTGACAAATGTAGAGTATGTCATAAGATTAGCGAATCCATCCAACACATCAGCTCTGGATGTGAGAGTCTTGCGTCAGTCCACTACACGGAAAGACACGACAACATAGCAAAGATTATTCACCTTGAAATGCTAAAGTACCTAAAAATCAAGAACCCTGAAAAGAAATATTATGAATACAGGCCACAAGAATTAGAGGAAAACGAACATCATAAAATATACTGGAGTACGCAAATACAGACAGACAGATCAGTAGTTCATAATAAGCCGGACATTGTTTGGATGGATAAAAACGAAAAGAAAGCCTACTTAATCGACGTAGCTGTACCACTAGATCACAACGTAGTCAAAACTGCAAAGGAAAAAATTCGAAGTATCAAGACTTGGCTTTCGATATGAGGCAAACCTATCATCTAAAAGCAACCCGAGTAATACCACTCGTCATTTCAAGCAATGGTCTGGTTCACATTGATTTTGAGAAGAACTTAAAGGAGCTGAAGCTACCAGAAAATATCATAAGTCAATGTATTAAAGCAGCTATTTTGGGTACGGTGAACATAGTCCGCAGAGTAATGAACATGGAGCCTTGAATGGAAATATTCCGGCGACATGTCATGGTACAACCGATAGAATCGTGAAAAAAATAATAATTATAATAATAGATCCCGTATATAGCGTTTAACGCCTTGTGAGTAGCAAGGTACAGCTTGCCATACTAGAGCCGTTCGGTATACAAGGAAGGTAATGTGGCTAGCACTACGCTTCAACCGCCTATTATTACCTCAGGATTGTGAATCCCAAGTACTCATTTAACGCTGAGTCGACCTAGGTACCCAAACTATTTTTATTTTATTAAAAATAGTCGGCTGATGAAATGCCGGGTGTAGGATTCGAACCCACAACCTTGAGATTAGTAGACGAGAGCTGTACCTCTACGCCACCGGGCACCTTCTAATTTATTTAACACAATTTATTTTACATTAATTATCAAAACAAGAAAACCCTTAATAACTATCAAAGTTATTTCCAAACTATTTATCTAACGAATTTATTTTTAATTTATTTAGCGCGGAAGATGCACGTAAGATGACGTCTCGTACGACTTGACGTAAAAGAGGTCTCGTTGTTCTTTTTTGGTCACACCATAATGAGCCTTCTCACTATTGTTAGGATATCACCGAATCAGGTTCTTCGCGGTCCCAGCACGATCTTCTGTTTCGTCTTGGTAGAGGCCCAAGCGATTGAAATGGACTATCCTCGATTTTCCTTTTGGCAATTTTCTGATTCGGTATACGACGTCATTTAATCCTATCCATCCATGGCTCTTCCCACGAAGATTGTAGCTTCGGAGATAATCCGCGACCTCTCTGCGGGTTGTATGCCACACCATATTTCCTGGTTGGTATCCTCCATGCTCAGCTTGAATGTCGTAGTGCTCCTTCATTTGCTCCTTTTTATTAGTTCACTAGCGCTTTGAATATTTAGACGGACTCGTTGATAGATGTCGTCCATTCGTTGACGTGGTCTGTGGAAATAATCTTCTCCAGCGACATTGTCTCCCTGTCGGCAACCAAACTTCCGATCACAAGGTAGGCGGACTTCCGGCCCCATAACGATGCTGGCTGGAGTTTGTTCCGTAGATTCTTGGACGGATGAACGGTAGGCCAACAGGAACAGATGAAGAAATTTGTCCCAGGCTCTTTGGTGGTCAGAGACTACTTTGGCCAGATCCAACCAAACCAAACCAACCCAACCACCCCATCGGATTGAGGATGTAAGGCAGTCGTTTTGGTCTTGCTGATGTTAAGAACTTCTCAGACGCCTTGGAACAGATTGGACTCGAAGTTTCTTCCCTGATCTGAATGAAGCTCCATGGGAACACCAAACCTGCAAATCTATTCTTTAACAAGGGCATCAGCAATGGTGGACGCCTCTTGATTGGGCAACGCGTAGGCCTCGACCCATTTGCTGAAGTAATCCATTACTACCACAATGTATTTGTTGCCATCGTTCATCTCCAGGAAAGGACCAGCCACGTCGACCGCTATTCGTTCAAAGGGACTGCCTAGATGTACTGACGCATTGGGGCTTTACCGCGCTTTTGTGGCCCATTGATTGCGGCGCAAACGTCACATTTCTTGCACCAGGCCCTCACATCTTCTTGGCAGTTCATCCAATAGAACCGTTCTCGCAGCTTGCTAAGTGTCTTGGTAACACCAAGATGTCCACCGCCGGTTCAATTGTGGACTTTTCTCAAAACTTTCGGGACCCTCTTCTTTGGAATGACGATCTGCCTCCTCTCTTCTTGCCCCTCTGGTCGCTCGATCACACGGCGAAGTAATCCGTTATCTATTACCAAGAAATTCCACTCCGCCCGTACGACTTCACGTTCTGCGAACATCCGCAAACTTCCTCCCACGTTGGTCTTTGGTCCGTGTTTTTCACTGAGCCTAATTCTGGGTCACTGATTTGGCCTTTTGCAAGATCTTCGGATTGCCAAGTATCATTAACCACAGTTGTTCTTAGGAGTTTCGTCTTTCTCTTTTCTGCTCGGGAACCACAGAAATGGTTACAGCCCTTAGCGCAAGGGCCTCTGGAAAGCATTTCGATGGATTGCCCCAGCTCGACTTTTTTTTCTGTGTCGAAGTTAAATTCTTGTTATCGTTCGATCCATCTAGCTACTTGCCCTTCAGGATTCTTAAACCGCAACAGCCATCTGCTAGTAATTCTCGTCTGGTAACACAGTAGTATCTTTCTGGTTTTGACAAGGTCTTACTAAAATATCCAATTACTTTTTCTTGACCATCCTGAATCTGAGGCATAACAACACCTAATCCAACATTACTAGCGTCGGTATCCAATATACCAAGTCGGTAACCAATACATTTCGTTACCAAAAGGGTAGCTAAGTATGGGCGCACTAATCGGGGCCTTCTTCAAACTTGAAAATGGAATGCCTCGTCACAATCTGAGTCCCAAGAGAAACGCCCTCCGGTAAGTCTGGTCAATGGTTTAGAGATGGTGGCGAAACCCTGTACATCGGCGATAGTATGTGCATAGTCCCAAAAAGCTTCGTAGTTCATGTTTATCTATGTAATTCCCACGGCAACTCCCTGGGAGGAGACCACATGACCCAAGTAGTGTACCTTTTCTTGACACGGATGGTCACCTAGTGGTACCGTTCTTCTTCTTAACTAGTACTACCGGCATATCCATGAGCTGTGATTCTCGTGTCTTCGATTTACGGTGTCTCTACATCGATGAATCACGGGATGAATGTTACGGCGAATTCCGCGAATTCCTCAAGGTCAAAGGGGCCGTGGCATATTAGAGCGGGACTGGTTTCGCAACAAGATTTTAATTCGTTTATTTTTTATATATGAGTAAAGCTCATTACTTTATTTGTGAATCATTAAACGAGTATACAGGGTGCCTTAAAAAAGTGTGACGGATGTAACATGATTTTTTAAGTGTAAGGGCCCCACAGATTTCGTTCATTTTCTAACGCAATTGGAATCGCAGAATTCAGACCATCACATCGTGCAAACTTCCCATAAATTTACTTGATATGTGCTATACGTCGATACTATTTAGTTTTGTACCTTTTGTTAGCATTTTAATACGTTTTATTCGTAGTTAATTAGTATGATACCACCGCGTACACCATAGGAGTAGACAAAAAAATTATCAAAAAAACAATTTTTCATAATGAATCGACTCTTCGTTCATTTAAACAAACTGCAAACATATTTTACGTATCACGTATGACGTATGACAGTACAAAAAGATAATTTTTTTGTAAATATTATATACTATAATAATTAATTTAATTTTGTAAATAATTATATACAATATTAATATACAAATAATAATAATATACAATAAAATAAGATAATAATAAAAAAAAATAAATAATAATAAATAAAAGGACGGAATTGAGTCTGACTTATGCCGAAGGTGTAAGAAAGCAAGTGAGATAATACATCACGGCATAGGAGGATGCCAAGCTATAGCACAGAGTGACTACAAATTTAGATACCATTAAGTGGGAAAGACCAAGAATTAGCATTGAAGTATAAACTAATAGAGCATAAAGTTAACTCTTATCAGTACGAACCTGTTACAATCCTTGAAAACAATGAATATGAAATGTACTCGGACAGAACTATAATAACAGATAAAAGACTAGAACACAATAGACCAGACATAGTAGTGAAGAAGAAAAAAGAAAATGAAGTGTTGCTCATAGATTTTGCGGTGACAAACAACAATAACCTAACACAAGCATACAGAGAGAAGATTGCCAAATATATTGATTTATGCTTTGAAATTAAGGATATGTGGAAATACGATCGAGTCCGGGTCATCCCATTAGTACTATCGAATATGGATGTAATACCAAAAACACTAATTGAATCGCTGAGGGCAATAGACTTTTTTAAAATCTGTAATCCTTAACACCTGCCATACAACAAGGCGATTTCTATACATGTAACTTAACCGGGAACGTTTCTAAGCCAGAAAAGTTATCACGTTATCACCATCATGGTTGAGACGAGTCACTCTTCCAATCACGAGAAACCAACGGATGTAGTTCAGATAAAACGAAATAAATAAATAATTAATATACAATATTATTACATACAATTATACATTATAATTCTAGAAAGTTACTAAAGTAAGTACTGTATAAATAAATAAACAGGATGTGTTGGGAACTTTTTAACTCTTGTTGGGAAAGATCTAAATTGGGAGATATTAGAATAAATAAACAATAATAATATTAATTATGTAAACATTTATTGAATACGTAGGTATATATATAAAAAAATGAAAATTTCTAAATATAGTTAGGCCCGTTTCACATGGAGCGTTTATTTTCAAGGCCCGATTGACAGGAAATTATCCTGAGGGACTAAATTATCCGCTTTATGCGAAACGGCACTTACATAGGTACATTAAACGATTATATTAGTAACACATTGAAAGATATCTTATTCTTATTTTTACGAATTCCAAACAGGGTCCATTTTACAGCCGGATATATCCACAATTTCTTGAGGGCAAACAACTTGTTCAAAGGTTGCTGGTGGATTGGAACATCCATTAAGGAACTCCCATCTGAAAAAAAAACATGTTTTCTTCTATTTATTATTGACAATAAGGTATTGTTATCACATTAAGGAGTAGTATTTCCATATTACCACTACTTTAAAAATATTGTTGGAAGTAATGTTTTCTTATTTTCATGTTTGAAAAGAAATATAACAATTATGTTATTACCACACATTAAGTTAAACAGTATCATCTATAAATCAAATATTCACAAAGCGCATACCTAAACTTGCATCCATCTTGAAGTTGAGTAGGAAGTTCATAACAACCGTCTTCAGTAGTTACACCTCCATACTGGTCACCCCAACCTAGGTCTGGAGCATTCCATTGAGTTTTACATCCTTCTGTGTAATATCCGACACCACCTATAATAGAAATTAAAGTTATTTATCCTATAAGACACCACATTTTTCTCATTACCTCCAGGCATGGCAACTTCGATGTTGTTTTGATCACCGCTAGAGTTGCTAGAACCAGCACCGGTGTTTGTAATTTGGACAACCATCTGTTTTCCGGAACAGTCACCCCATTCGCCCTTTTGGAAACTGAGAAGGAAACAAGTACAACACATGTTTTCAGGGGGGCTGATGAACATAGCGGCGGCAAATCTGAAACAGAGTGGTTTTATTTTCGATAATTGTTATTCAAGACTCTCTAAATATTATGGAGAGAAATTAAAAATATATATTTGAACCTTTTTACGCAAACAAAAATTTATTACAAAAAAAAGTCAACATAACATGGCAAAAGTCAATAATAACATGGCAAATCTGTTAAGTTCTAAGCATTTTATACTTTAAACTTTTTTCACATTATTGTTAAAGTCTCTCTAAACAAGAAGCACAGTGTCTGTCTACATAACAAAATATTGTAATGCGTATTTTGTATAAATGTAATCATACTTGTTATATTACTAATATTTATTTTGTAAATTAATAAAATAGAATAGTTATTAGTAATATTGTCATCAATCCTTACCCATAAGCTAACGTGGAGTTAATAACAACACTCTGTTGGTTATTGCACATATATGAGCTGCCTCCAACACATCCAGATTCAGTATTTCCATCATCTACATTGTATCCATCGCTGCTGCAAGCTCTTACTGGACCTATAAAAATAAAAATTTGAATATTTTACATGTATTTCACTTTGAGGTACATATATATATCAATAGTAAAAGGTTTAAAACTTGAATTAATAAAATAATATATTATGTTTGTGATAGTTTAGACTTGATTGTTATCAAGTGTCTCACTAATACATCTGACCATGTATATTAGCCTATTCTTTTAGTATCAATAAAATAAGATAATTGTATCCAACATTCATAAACATATGAATACTACACAAAACAAAGTTTATTATTTTATAAGTAAAAAATGCATCTTATTCTTGCAATTGAAATCAATTTACCATAATCCGTGTTTGTGTTTCCTTTCCATGAACAAGTTGGCTTACAACAATCCCAATAGCGAGATGTAGTACATGATCCCGAATAACCTCCAACTACTTTTTTTATTTCCGGTTGCCTCTGGGTCAATATAGACCCGCCTATAAATAAAAAAAACGTTATATTTAGATTATTACAGATACTATCTCCTTTTTTACATTTCTATCTTTTATGTTTTTCTTATTTTTTTGTTATTTGACATTTATCAAAACAATATTACCATCAATATTTATGAAAATAATTGTCGCATTGACGAACTTAGGCCGGCCGCACTTTAGATGCGAATTTGTATTGTACGAACCGTATCGATAGTGGTCGTACAAATTGAGTGCGCATACCAAAACCGCTTTCCTCCGTCAAAGAGCAGTGTTTCGGTGACATTGTTATAAATACCGCACTCGTGGAGTCCTCTTTGGAGCGCAATGAATCTGTTTCTTCAAGATAATTCTCTTCTATGGAGATTGCGGCGACGCAACTCGCGTCGTTATCGTACAACTTAACAAGTATAGCTAGAGACGTGAGAAATATAAAATAACACGCGACCGGTGCTATCCCCAAGTCTCTTCCTTTACATTTTAATTGCTAGTTTCCTTATACCATGGTTATAGTAAAATGTTTTCGTACAGCAAACTTTCATATCCCACTCTACTCCCTAAGGGTATGAATTTCCTAAATTTGTGTTAAAAATTACTTTAATTACCATTGTATAATTACCTACATCCATTTTTTTCAACGGTTCAACGGTTCAACGCACGAAAACGTTTAAAAATCCCAACAGGTTCGGATTGTTTTCGGATGTCGGTACTACGCGTGCGTTTACGTATGACCAATTCGCACATGATTCGCACCCAGTATGCGCGCTCCCATTGTACTAGGAAGGTCGGGATCATTAGTGCGTGTTCGTATGTGTTCGCACGAATCAAATTCGTACGTAAACGCGTTCAAAGTGCGGTCGGCCTTACAGTATCATTTTTAATAAAAAATGAATAAATACTAATTTAATTAATTTATGTATTTCCGCATGTTAATATAGGTACCACATAATTTTAAGTCTGAACAAAATTTCTAACAAATCTAAGTAAAAAAAGTTTTCTAAGTAAAAAAACGGGAGAATTTTCCCCAGTTTTTCACAATATTATATTTTACACATTTTTCCAAATAATAAAATAAATATATTTGATATTATTTGTTATGTGTGCATTAGGGTTGAGCGCATTTGTATATCATGTGTGTTACATTTATAGGATAGATACTTTTTAATTGAAATACATAGCTATTACCAATTACAATGTATTCTATTATGATCTATTAGATTGTTAGTATTTACCAAAAAAATTTAATGTAAAAACTTCAATTTAAAAAAATAAAACTATATTGCATAATAACAACACAACAAAAATAATTTTTAGAAAAAATATGAGAACTTACAGAAGACGTAAACTATACAAAAGGTTAAAACAATTAGAACTTTCATTTTTGTAAATCAACTGTATAATAATTTCAAATTTAGTGTCCAATTTATATAACTAGAATTTCACTATCTAAATCTGATAAAAATAAGAATTAAAGTACCTGTTCAAAATCACTTACCTATATGAGAATTTAAAGAACCAGTTTTATAAGTACGTAGGTATTTTAAAAAACACTTATGAGTTTTTTAAAATAAAAAACAAAAATATCCACCCAGTTCTATTGGTTGAACAATAATTGAATATCAAGTTGTTTTTTAACTTGTTGACACTTTGTAAATTATTCGAACAAATTAAAGGAAATGACAACTCTCAACAATGAAAATTAGTATATTTAGGACTTAACGGCAATTTTCAAGAATACCGTAGGCAATTTTGAATCGCTCCATACAATTTTCTAATTTGAAACTTAAATATTATATAGGCATATATTATAAAAAGTCGGCATTTTAAACAAAGGAATGAATTTTTACAAAGAGCCGCTATTTTCAGCCGCTTTGCAAAGTGCGCGCCTAATCAGACTTAGGCATATTAAGCCGGGTCTCCACCAAAGCAACATTTGTCGGCGACTAGTGTTGTCGACAATATTGCTGAAAATTCAGTAAAGTCGTCGACATTTTATGTCGCAGATTTAAGTCGCCGACTTTGTTTCATGTTTCGCTTGAGGAGCGGTACATCAAAGAAAAATCGTATCGACGACAAGGTTTACAAACATGTCGAAAAACGTCTCCACTGAATCAACTCCTATCAGTAACTTTATCGGGTATATTTTGCCATTTGTACTCGTGTAGTTCACAAGGCCAGAAGTTTGTTTTTGATTCTGTTGCTAAAAATAAATTTGTTATGGAGTGGAGCAATGATAAAACAAGAAATCTGATTGAAAAATATCAAGCCCACCCCGAACTTTGGGACACTAAGCATACTTGGTATAAGAACAGAAATAGAAAGTATGATGACTGGAATGATATTGCAACTAGTTTAGAAGTGGAGAGGGTGGAAGTTGAAAGAAAAATAAAAAATATCATGAGCGTCTTCTGGCTTGACGATGTTCATTTCGCGAAATAATAAAGAATGCGGCTGAGATTATAATTACATCCTCGTCGTTCCACATCTTGATAAACACTAAATAAACTTTCGCTCTTTAGTCGAAAAATGAAGTCGAGCAACAATATTTTTTTGGTAGGTACGATCTACATTTCTCGACAATATTTATGAAAATAGTAACAAAAGTTGATGACAATGTCGTCGACATATGTTGCTTTGGTGGAGACCCGGCTTTAAACAATAATGTTGGGGCAACATCGTAATATTTCAATTCATGCTTCAAATACAACACCGGGGTATTATCTTTCTTCTAGATGCAGAATTAAAAAAAGATAATTTTTTGTGTATAAATCTTTAACCGGTTCGCAAATATTTGCGGTATTATTTTACATATCTCTTCAATATACTAAATTAAAGGCAAAAAAGCCATGAGGTCGTTTTGATAAAAGTTTATCATTTATAAATAATCTCGAAGAAAAATACATGGTAGTATATACATGGTCTAACATGCTAAAGGGAGTCCACCATATACCACGCTGATTCTTGGAAATGGTTCTCTTTAGAATATCATCTAAGAGGATATTAAAAAGAAATGGCGAGAGGACGCAACCCTGCCTCACCCCATTCCCTTCTAGCGTGTTAGAAGAGAGTTTGATCTGAGTTATGTAGATGACATCTGTCTCCTTTCTCACAGTCATGTGGATATACCATCAAATCTACTTGACTTATGAAATGAAGCTTATATTGAAAAACTGAGACCGAACTTACTTACCGATTTTCAATTCAAATGTCAAGTCAGTATTGCTGTATGGTGCAAAGAAGTTGAATTCAATATTAAAAACTAAATCGATGAGAGTTTGTACTAACAATGCCGCTCCCTTTATCATTGGAACAACACTTATAAAGGAGGTAAATAATTTTACTTACTTGGATAGTACAATCTCAACCAACGGAGGGACAAAGTAAGATATTATAAACGAAATATACATAGCCAGAATAACATTTGGAATGCTCAACAATATTTGAAAATCTAGACAGTAGGTACTCTCGACTTTTTCCCATAAAGTCAGATGGCATCACTTGTGCAAAATCTTAAAGGAAGTGGGGGTACCGCAACACCTTATTTCACTTATCATCCACGTAATAGTATCAGCCATAAGTATCAGCACTTAATAGTATCTTAATAAGTTATCATCCACGCAATAGTATCAGCCATGAGGATCAGTTAGAATACTGGCTTCAGCTTTAAAAGAATATTTCCCTTGAACAAGGGGTCAGACAAGGGTGTATATTGTCTCCTCAACTATTTAACATATACGAAGAATACATTATGAGAAGGTGGCATTTCAATAAATGGCCAAAAAATAAATAATCTACGCTTTGCAGATGATACAGCACTACTCGCTACTAGCTAGCAATCAAGAAGAGTTAATCAATTTAGTAAATAGGGTAGAAACGAAAGCAATCGGCTCGGTCTGGAACTAAATACACAAAAAACCAAAATCACGATAGTTGGTAGGCAGCATAACAACCATCCAAATATAAGTCATATCGACCGCTTTGAAGTCGTTAAGTTATACGTATACCTGGAATCACTATTGACAAATACAGGCACATCGGAAGAAGAGGTGAAGCGTAGGTGCAACATGGCAAAGGTAGCTGTTGGGAGACTGACCAAGATGGAAAGACCGCCAACTTTCAAGAGCCATCAAAAACCGGCTAGTCAACTGTTTGGTACTCCCAATATTGACGTATGGCTGCGAATCGTGGACTCTCAGGCAGGCGGAACGTAAGAAGATCGATGCTACCGAGATGTATTGTTATAGACGTATGCTCCGTATCCCATGAACTGAACGCGATACAAACGTTTCCATTATAAATGAACTTAATATTACCAACACAGGCTTTCCTGTAAAATCCGACTAAAACAACTAAAATATTTTGGACATATAATGAGGAAAAGTCCGGACAATATGGAAAGACTCATAATTCAAGGCTAGGTGGAGGGACATAGACCACGTGGCCGCTCTCCGTCTCGATGGATAGACCAGATCACGACTAGCTGTAGGAAGCCAATGCACAATGTCATGAGATGACAAAAGACAGAGGCATATGGAGAAAAATCATCCATGATGTTACGCTGACCACTACACTCATCCCTAATGGGGATTAGGACTGAAGAGAGAGACTCTCGACTTACCGAACTTACTTACCGATTTTCAATTCAAATGTCAAGTCAGTATTGCTGTATGGTGCAGAGAAGTGGAAAATTACACCGCCATTAATTAACAAACTCCAAGTATTCATAAACCGCTGACTGCAAAAAATTCTAGGAATATTTTGGCCAAACACAATTAGAAATGAGGATTTAGTTTTAGTTTAATGAGTCAACCAGAGGCAGATTTTTAATGAGATCAAACTAAGAAAATGGAGGTGGATTGGTCACGCATTAAGGCGAAGCGACAACAACATGGCTGGAAGAGCTATTGAGTACAATGGAACCTCAAGATAGAAGAACTGGTCGTTCAAAACACACATGCAGGGGCGCAACTAGACATATACTTTTAGGGGGGCTTAAGTTTTTTGGGGGGCTTAGGTCACTATAAGATAAGATTCATGTGAGGTTAAAACCAATTTTATACGACAAGCACTGGAAATATGGGGGGGGCTAAGCCCCCCCTGGCCCCCCTATTTGCGCCTCTGCACACATGGCAAAGAAAAATTAAAAAGGGGATCGAAGCAGTAAACCGTTCATGGCGAGATGTCAAATCAATTGCAAACAACCGAACTCGCTGGAGAGCATTTATTGAAGCCCTATGCTCCACATAGGTGTAGTATATGAACCTACCTTTAGAAGGAATAGATGGAAAACTCACATTATCTTATACTGGATATTTTTTATGTCGTGGCCAATATTGTAATATATTTTTTTCTAATTCAATACCATGCATGCATTTTCATTTCGTTCTTTACACCTACGTGGAGCATAGGGCTTCAATAAATGCTCTCCAGCGGGTTCGGTTGTTTGCAATTGATGTGACGGAATCACGGGATAAAAACGTCTTTTATTTACGTAGTCCCATTTAATAGCGAAATTCGCAATTAATTCTTGGGATCTGGTAGGGATATTTGTGTTTTTAATCGCATTTTAAAAATGTCACTTGAACGAAGAATTTTATTTTTGTCTCCGTATGGTCTCCATCCAGTTGTCATTTTAGATTTTAGCATATACATAGGTGTTATACAGGGTGGTCCGAACTGTATTCCGGAAACTTCGGTAACATATTCTGCAGATAAAAATAAGTAAAAAAGTTTGTATAAGCGTATGCCCTAAAATGCTTAATTTTAGGCCACCTATATACATATTTTTTAATTGGTTTGAAGAGTAATAACTTTTCGTCCGTACCTGTATAAAACTACTGAGTAAAAAAAATATACTATACATTTACGAAGTTTTTTACGGAAAAAATGTCTCTTGGTAAAAATCGCTACGAGTAATGGTTCTCGAGTTATTTTGAATCGAAATTATTAATACCTATCATAATTGACACAAATTAAACATGTTGACTGAATAGTTATTAGACTGAAATCATAAATTTTAAATGTTTTTGTGCCAAAAGTTCAACAGAAACTGTTTTATCATCATTAATTTAAAAAAATAAAAATTTCCCAAATTTATTTTTCAGTCAAAAGTAACTATATATCTACTTTCTCAGCGTGTTTATATTTTATCAATAATGACATGTATTAACTATTTTCATTCTAAATATCTTGAGAACTGTTGCTCGTAGCGATTTTAACCAAGAGACATTTTTTACGTAAAAAAAACACGGAAATGTATATTTTTTCACTCCATAGTTTTATACAGGTACGGACGAAAAGTTATAACTCTTCAAAAGAGTTAAAACCAGAGATATAGACATAGGAGAATGAGCTTCGACGAGTGCGCATCCAAAAATCTTGTTATGCCTACATGGGTGCCATGTTAGTGTTTAGGCTTACAGGGGAAATCAAAAAGT